ATTTAACATTTTTTCCAGCTCCTGCGCATAGCTGATAGAAAATGTGAAAATTTCGATCACCATGATTCTGCTGAACCACTCGTGACTTCTCCAGTAAGAAGTTTGTCACCTAAAAAAGTGAAAATTCAAGAAGAAACCCTTACTTTTAAACCTTATACAAAACTTCTACCTTGCCACCAATTGGTTCTCCTCCTCTGCCAAAAACGATTTGTACATATTTACCAAACCTCGATGAGTTCCAATTTCTGACAGTTGCACTATTACCAAAGGCTTCAAGTAATGGATTCGATTGGAGAATGACATCTTTCACGTGCTGAATAATTTTTATTTTCTACTTATGAAAAGTTCTATTAATGATGAAGGAAACCTGGAAAGTTCAAAAAAAGAATGCAGAATTCTACGAACTTGAACTTTGGGACCTCCTCCAGAGATACGTGCTATATAACTCATGATGTATTTTGCGGCCACAGTCTTGCCAGCACCGCTTTCACCGCTGATTATCACACATTGTGACTCATTGTCAATCAGCATATTCCTACAATATAGTTTATCCATAGAAGATCATAGGTTAATAGGAAACAAAAGAATAATGAATTTTTTTCTGCAAAATGAAGGCGCAGAGATAAAAGCTGACCTTATTATTATTTGAATTTTTGAAAAATTCAATACACGGAATAATTTTGTTTCAACTAAGAATTATTATTTGGATTGAGTTTGAATTCAAAATGTAAGCAAAAAATGGTTCAAAACTATGTACACATTGTGCAGAAACAGAAATTTCCACTATTGTTCCCCATTCTACAGTACTTTCCTAAATTCTGTGCAATTTGCCCTTACATTGTAATCAAAAGTGTCAACTAAGGTAGAATGAAAACCATAGTTAAGTTACCTGTACATATTATCGGCTAAAGCGTAAATGTGTGGTGGATTCTCATATTGAGCGGCTCCTTGATATTGATCCATATCTTTTTCAGTAAAATAAGGCATTTGTTTGAAAGGATTCACTGAGATTAGTACCGGTCCGATGTAAGTCTGGAAATTTGGTGTTCAATTACATATTTTCGAAAAATACATACGATTAAAGCTTTGCAGTATTTTGTACTGAGTTTTTGAAAGCCATCATCGCCAGATCTTAAAACTGCATTCTCGGTAAACCAAAATCGCAAGCGAGTTATAGGTATTTGTAGATTTATGATATAACTACATACTTAGACTAGGGCTTTGAGGACCGCCGAGAAAGAAGTATCACTCAGTATTTTGCAGATTTGCACCAAGTGCCTAACTAGCCGCCTTCAAAATATAATTACGTCATATTGTACTCATGTAAACCAGCTAACTAACATTTTTTAATGCTGTTGAACCAACACGAAAGTTCAATTTTCTAAGTTTTACAAGAGCCAAAGCTTAGCATATAATTTTGTAAATTAAAAAAAAATATATATATATATCGGCAATGAACTTACGAAGATGCTGTTGCCATGAAACCGTTTCTTAAGATTATCGGTAATAGACTGCTCGGTAAGCTTGCTGAGTAGCACCATGTCTTCGACACCGACATGATGCACATTTACGTTCGACTGCCAGTGGAACGCCTGTAGAGAAAATTTCAAATATTTTGAGAAAAAATCATAGGGATATAAGTAATTTCAACTGATAATTAGGATAAATACAGCAAAACTATTGCTTCAACAATAATATATTAATGATGGACCGTAATAATGATTAGTAGTGCAGATGACATGAATAAACAAAAAGTTATGAATCATCAACATAACACTTGTGTGAAGGCATATATTATTTAATGTAGAAATCTGCATATGGTTTGGACATTAGGGGAATATTCCTATAGAATTTCTACTACAACTATCTCACTACATGACGTAATTAACCAAAATAATTCCTCCAAGCTACTCAGTTT